GGGGCCAGGGGCGGGGGTGGGGGGGTGGGAACAGAGATGGTGCACAGAAGTCTTTGGAGGAAATCCCTCCTTACGAGGGCATCTCTCAGATCACAGCCTTGGCCATCAGCGTCCCGGGGCTTATATAGTGTCTTTGACTTACCCCAACATCTGTTTGTCCCCACAGAGGAGAAGTACACAGTCATATACCCATACACAGCTCGTGACCAAGATGAAATGAACCTGGAGAGAGGAGCTGTGGTGGAGGTCATCCAGAAAAACCTGGAAGGCTGGTGGAAGATCAGGTACCCTCTGCAGCTGGGTGGGTTTCAGGTCATATAGGCTCCAGCTGCACAGATATCTGTAAGCAGTTGCAGAGGGGGTGAGGTTTCAGCCTGAGCTGTAAAAGGACGCTTCTCCTCTGTGCTGTTCGGCTTCCTTCCCTACCCATATCCTTCTCTAAAAATCCATGATAAGCAAAACCGTCTCTAAACACACTGAACCACCGATAGCAGTAACCCAGCGAGACTGGTCTCCACCTCCAGATGTGTTTCATAATGAGTAAGTGGAGGCTGCAGCTGCCCTGTGTGAGTGATTTCCCACTCCAGCCCCGCTCTGAGAGCAACAGGTTGCTAAACACCACACGGACAGTAGCCCGTCCTAAAGCTAATCATTTGCCGTCATCTCTCAGAGTCCAGTGGAGACCGGCTTTCCAAACAGTTTGTCACAGCTCTCTCAGCTATGTGATGGAATTGAAAGCTCATAGGTAAAGGTGGCCAACTCATCTTGCTCTGCTTGGGACTTTCCTAGTTTTAGTAATGAAAGTCCGGGGAACTCCCTCTTTGGTTACCCGGGCAGGCAGGGTGCAACCTCAGGAAATTAGGGCAAGAGAAGAAGCCTGAGGTCCCTGCCACCTGGTGTCTGTGCCGTGATGTGAGGCCGGACATGAGGCAGGACATTGGGACCACTCACATGGGGCTGAGTGTGTAACCCTTCATTCATTCAGCAAACCTACACCAAAATCTATTTGGGGCCAAGCTGTCTACTGAAAGCTGGTGAGTCAACAGTGAGAAAGAGACAGTAATTCAGACCCACAGGCATAGAAGGCAGACTCAGACACAAGTACAGGGCAGGGAGGCAAGTGGGGTGTAGGAGGGCTGCACAGGGGACTTTGGAGCACAGAAGAGGGCTCCTCAGCCGGGAGTCAGGAAGACTTCCTCAGAACTGAGGTTTGAAGCCGGAGTAATGACGAAAATAACTCACATATCTGGATTGTATGTGTTACCTTGCTGTATAACAAATTATCCCAAAACTAAGTGACTCTGGAATTCAGGTGGCTCGACTGGGCTCAGGGTCCCTCATGAGGTTGCAGTGGATGTTGCCGCGGTCATCAGAAGCTTTGACTGAAGCTAGAAAGTGACCGAGCCAGGTTTTGAACCCATACCTTTCTGACCCCAAAGCCCACTCAGCATTGCATGTGTTGCCTCTCTGCTTTTGGCTTTGTGCCCCCAAGTGATGAACTGTCTCATAGTGATGCCCGGATTGTGTGTAGTCTGACGTTTTCCAATTAGCACAAGATTTAGTCCTTCTCAGGGGATATTTTAAGATTGATAGACACCAAACTGCAGATTTCTGCCTCCTTTTAAGTTTGCTTCTAGTTATAAAGGACTTTTTTTTTTATTGAAACACAGTGCTATTTAGTTCTTAAGGTGATTCTTGACGAGAGATGTGACCCTGCCATATATCATCTCCAGTCTGTTAGATGTCGTCCCCAAAAGTGTGGGCACCTGTTTTGTGGTTCAGACCAGTGGGGTGCTGGCAATTTTAACAGCCAGCTCTCCAGGGGAAAATGCTCTTGAGTTGCAGTGTTTTGCCAATTTCCGTGGTGTAAATACTCTCACCGTGGCAGATTTTAAGCTCCCAGTGTGATGGCACTAAACGCCGGGTTGGGAAGAGATATGAACAGCTGGCTCTCACAAGTGCTGTGAGCTGACTCCAGCACACCTCTAGTCCCAATCAACCCCTCTGGTCATGCTATTCAACCGAGTTCCATAGTGCAGAGAATTAAATGATTGTTACATTCGTTCAATTCCCTTTGGAATTCAGTGAGCTGGTCTGTCAGGGTCTCAGTCACTCCGAAGCTCAGTGACCTGTGGTAACCCTGGAACCAACCCCCCGACCTGCTTCGTTCTCATCTCAACGCGTGTTTAATCTACTTGTTAAGCAATATGACTGGAGGCCCACCCTGCCTATGCCAGGCTTTGTGCCGGGAGCTGGGGCTTCTGGGAAGAGGCAGCAAAGCAGCACAGACTCTGCTGCCAGCTTTCTAGGTCTGGATCCATTTCTGCCAACCCCCAGGCTGGATGGATGAACTATAGCAATAGCTATCAAGTGCTTGGAACAGGAATGACATGGAGTAGGTGCTCACTAAGTGTCACTTATCGTTATCATCATTGTCCCAGTAGTGATGACTGTACGGGGACAGTGACTGTAGCAGAGCTTTGTGGCTGCTCACCCTTGCCAGGTCCACTGCAGTTTGTCCACTTGTCCCCTTTTTTCTTCACTCAACTCACTGGGAGCGAGGGCCCTCACACACAGAGATGAATCATCTATGATCTTCGCCCCCAGGAGCTCGAGTTCTAAGTGGGGAGGCAGGACCGTCACAGCCGAGTGTCACTGTGTGTTATAGGTGCTGGGATTGTGGGGTGTGCAGGAGACAGTGGGGGGCACCGTGGAGGGAGGCTCGGGAAAGGCTTGAGAGGGGGCATGGTATTAAGCAGAGCTGGGAAAGAGGAGCACAAAAGAGAATGGGCTTGGGCTTCCCTGGTGGCGCAGTGGTTGAGAGTCCACCTGCCGATGCAGGGGACACGGGTTCGTGCCCCGATCCGGGAAGATCCCACACGCCGCGGAGCAGCTGGGCCCGTGAGCCATGGCCTCTGAGCCTGCGCGTCCGGAGCCTGTGTTCCGCAACGGGAGAGGCCACGACAGTGAGAGGCCCGCGTACCGCAAAAAAAAAAAGAGAGAGAGAGAGAGAATAGGCTTTCCAGGCAGAGGGTCTCTAAGAGCAGGGTCATGGGGGTGAGAGATGGTGGAACTTTTGGGAGAGCGCAAGCTGTGTGGGGTGGGCGGGACCTGGGGGTTGCCGTGAGAGACAAAGCTGGGGAGGTAAGGAGAGGCCAGATTGGGGAGGCCCAGCTGAGGGCTTAGGCTTCATCAGGAGGCAGCAAGCGGTGTACCAGCCTCTGGCCCTGGGCAGGTCGTTGTCCATCGTTCCTGCCATCTGGGACCCGAAGTGGGATTCACAGTAGGAGCTCAACCTCTTCCCATGGGCCTGGCAGAGCAGCCTGACAGGCATCCTTCCCCCTCCTCCCAGGTACCAGGGCAAAGAGGGCTGGGCCCCAGCCTCCTACCTAAAGAAGAGCAGCGGGGAGCCTGTACCCCCAAAGTTGGGCCCCGGCTCACCCGCCCACGCGGGCGTCCTCGAGCTGGACGGCGTCTCCCGGCAGCAGAACTTGGTGGGCCGGGAGAAGGAGCTGCTCAACAACCAGAGGGATGGCCGGTTTGAAGGCCGCCCGGCACCCGACAGTGACGTCAAGCAGAGTAAGTGACGCCCACCCGAGCTCCCGGCACCTGGGCACCTACTGCGTGCCAGGCTCTGTGCCCAGAGGTCCTCACATGTTGTCCCTCATCCTCACGGCAGCCCTGCTGCCCACCATCCTGTAGATAAGAAAGCAGGCTCACAAACCCCAGGTCACTCGTTCCAGATCATTCAGCCAGCAAGTTGCAGAACCTGAATGGAGAGACGTGGCTTTCCTACTCAAACCATGTTTTTTCCACCGTCTCGTATCACCAGCGCTCCTGTTTCTCAAGCCCCTACTAGGTGCCAGCAGTCTTATAATCAGTCTCACTGACTCCTTGTAACAACCTTTGAAGGACCTACTCCTTTTATTTTACAGGTTAGGAAACAGAGATGAAGGGGTTTGTCCAAGGCCACCCAGCTAGTGAACAGTGGAGCCAGGACTTGAACCCAGGTCCCTCTGACTCAAGTGCCAGTGGTCTCTCTGCAGGGCCTCATTTCTGAGCCAGGGGAAGAAAAAGTGGACCCTGTGTTGGGTTTATTCCGAAGTTAGTTCTTTACTCATCTTGCTTTTCAAAGCTTCCTTGTATCTATTTTACCATTTAGTGTTCCCAGCACACCTGAGAGTAGCTTCATTACTGTTGTCTGCTGCATACCCAGGATGCCAGCCTCAAGCATGTGACCCTGTACAAGGCAGAAGGAGCCTGTCTGTTGGGAAAGGACTAAAAACTAGCCACAAGGATGCAGTCACTTGCCCCTCGCTGGGCTTCTCCAGCTGTTTAAAGTGACTCTTATGGTCAGTGAACTTCTTGAGTCTCTCAGTTGTTCTCAGCCACTCTGAGAAAACACTGACGTGCCATGGCAGGATCCTATCATGGCCAAGAGCATAGGAGGATTCCCATTAACACTAGAGGAGCGAGTGAAAATCTGAAAGCCCGTGTCTCTGTTAGGATATATAGGTTCAGATGCTCAAGCAAAGACTCCCCACTACTATCACACACATACATCCCATAACAATGGCTCAAGTAATTTAGATGTTTCTTTCTTTCTCACCGAGCAGTCAGGTATATGTCCAGAGCTGCTGTGGCAACTCTATCCAGTCACGAGTCTCGTTATGCTGTATCTATCTTGTGTTGCCCTCATCCTCCTGGTCCAGGAGGGCTCACCACCAGTCCGGCCAAGGAAAATGAGGCAGGGAGAAGTGGAAGACTGGACTCAGAAGCTACAGACTTGTTACTCTTTCACATCCCATCGGCCAGAACTTAGTCACATGGCAGTACCTAGCTGCAAGGGAGTCTGGGAAATTTAGTCTTTATGTAGGCAGTCAAGTGTCTGGCTAAAACTCTGTTGTGATTTTTTTCTAATAGAAGACAGGAAAAATGGGTATTTAAGAGTTTTGCAGTCTCCTCTACACGCCAACTACCAAACTACACCTCTGTGTAGACCCATGCTAAAGCAGCTCTGACAGCATGTGGGGTGCCTTCCTCAATGTTCTGCCCTTAGCCAGGAGCCTTGGACCACTGCAGAGTCGTCCTCTTCTTGACCCTGAGACCCAGAGCAGGGGCAGCCCAACTCCAGAGTAAAAACCCCTGAAGTCCTCAGTCCAAGTTTGTTTGGCTCTGTTTATGCATTGTTTAATTTGGGTTTGTTCCAGAGCACAAAGCCAGGGGCAGTACCATTAATGCGTGCTTGCCATATGCCAAGAGCCTCACCTGTATTGTTGACTTTCATCTCCACCACTGCTTCCAGGAGGCAGGCATTATCACCCCCTCTCCAGAAGAGGACCATGCAGCTCAAAGTCACATAACTTGTAGCCTCCCACCTCTGCGTTACTCTGAAGCCTGCACTTGTGGCCTTTGCTGGAAAGCTTTCTATCGCGCCAGGACTGGGCACCATCCCCTTGTTGATGGAGAGTCCTGAACCCAGTCTGAGTGTCCCCTTTCTGGTTGGGCTCTCCCACAGGAAGCGTCGCAGTCGCTCGCTGATGCCTGTGCTGAATGTGATGCCTAATCTCCTGCAGGAGAGAATAGATCTCTCGTGGTGTCCACCTCAGGAATTTTATCTGTCTTCTCTTTATAGGATCACCCAGGATGAGACAGAGACCCCCTCCTCGCCGGGATATGACCATAGTAAGTGGACCCTTGCAACTGGGGAGCCAGACCCTGACCTGAGACTAGCCCCCCGACACTCACCTCGCCTTCTCCAAGGATGCACTCTTTCCTGCGCACACAGCAGCCTTGTGAAGCTAATCCCACTGACAGGTGGAAAGACTGAGGTCCAGGGAGATCAAACAGTTCGCCCATGGCTTTGTGACAGTTAGGTCTCAGGATGTACTTTCTGCTTCCTGAGCCAACTCCGCTTTATCTTAGATAAGTCTTCTTGAATAACGTAACTTGAAACCAAAATGGGATAAGGCACACGCTTCGCTTGTGGTGCCATTCTGATATTTTACTTTCATACTCCATTTTTAATTCTGTAAGCAGTACTTTGAAAATGGGCTTTCTTTTTTTAATGTCTGCCATTTATTGAGCACCTTTTGGGTGCCAGGCAGTATGCCGGTGTTTCACTACATGAACTCATTGAATGCTCTCCGTGACCCCACCAGGTAGATCCTGTTATTACCCACATTCTACAGGAGATAAAACTCAGGCCTCCAGGAGGAGAAGGGATTTGCCCAAAGTCACACCAATGGGTCTAACTTGCAAACCTGTGTTCATTTCACAACACTTGTTGCCTCTTAAGTTCAGAGAATATTGTCTTGCCCCCAATTTTCATGATTATAGGCAAATGTCCCATGTTTTTTCTCATTGCCCTAAAGCTGAAAGGCCAGTGACCTATCTAGAAGACGATGATCTGAGTGGTCCCCTTTGTTTTGTCCTAGAATCCAAATGGGTCCGCCAGCGCCCCCTTGAGGGTGATTGTGTGCCCCAATCCCTTAGCGCCTCCCATTCAGCGCCATGGGAATGGACTTACAGTGGTTTTAACACTGTGTTTAATTGTACCAGCCTCGAGGTCTGCCCAAGCCTCCCATCCCACCCCAAGTGGAGGAAGAATATTACACCATTGCTGAATTCCAGACCACCATCCCTGATGGCATCAGCTTCCAGGCGGGCCTGAAGGTCGAGGTGAGTGGATGTGGTCTCACTTTGTCTACCTGTGATTCTTTTTTTTTTTTTTTAATTTATTTTTTTGAAGTATAGGTGATTTACAGTGTTGTGTTAATTTCCCCTGTACAGCAAAGTGATTCAGTTATACATATATATACATTTTTTTTCATATTCTTTTCCATCATGGTTTATCCCAGGATATCGAATATTGTTGCCTGTACTATACAGTAGGACGTTGTTGTTTATCCATCCTATATATAATAGTTTGCATCTGCTAATCCCAAATTCCCAGTCTGTCCCTCCCCACCTACCTCCCCCTTGGCAACCACAAGTCTATTCTGTCTATCTATAAGTCTGTTTCTGTTTCATAATAAGTTCATTTGTGTCATATTTTAGATTCCACATGTAAGTGATATCATATGATGTTTATCTTTCTCTTTCTGACTTACTTCACTTAGGATGATAATCTCTGGGTCCATTCATGTTGCTGCAAATGGCATTATTTCATTCTTTTTTCTGGCTGACTAGTATTCCATTGTGTGTGTGTGTGTGTGTGTGTGTGTGTGTGTGTGCGCGCGTGCGTGCGTGTACACACACCACACTTTTATCCATTCATCTGTCAGTGGACACTTAGGTTGTTGCCGTGTCTTGGCTATTGTAAATAGTGCTGCAGTGAACATTGGGGTGCATGTATCTTCTTGAATTAGAGTTCTGTCCAGATATATGCCATTCTCATATGGCAACTCTATTTTTAGTTTTTTGAGGAACCTCCACACCATGCTCCATAGTGGCTGCACCAACTCACATTCCTACCAACAGTGTAGGAGGGTTCCCTTTTCTCCACACCCTCTCCAGCATTTATTTGTAGATTTTTTAATGATGGCCATTCTGACCCATGTGAGGTGATACCTCATTGTAATTTTGACTTGCATTTCTCTAATAATTAGTGATGTTGAGCATCTTTTCATGTGCCTGTTGGCCATCTGTATGTCTTCTTTGGAGAAATGTCTGTTTACATCTTCTGCCCATTTTTCAATTGGGTTGTTTGGTTTTTTGTTGTTGAGTTATATGAGCTGTTTGTATATTTTGGAAATTAAGCCCGTGTCGGTCGTATCATTTGCAAATAATTTTTTTCAGTCCATGGATTGTCTTTTCGTTTTGTTTGTGGTTTCCTTTGCTGTACAAAAGCTTGTACTACTTGTGATTTTTGATTCTAGGCACCATCTCCTATTCCTGTGTTCTTTTTTTTTAGTAGCAGCTTTATTGAGATATAATTCACATACCATACGATTCAGTGATTTAAGGTATAAAATTCAGTGGTTTTTCGTTTAATTACAGAGTTGTGCAACCATCACCACCATCAGCATTAGAACATTTCATCACCCAAATAAGAAACCCTGTACACATTAGCAGTCCCTCCCCACGTCCCCTCAATCCCTCTCAGTGCCCCTGCCCCAGCCCTAGCCCTAGGCAACCACTGATCTATTTCCTGTGTCTATAGATTTGCCTCTTTTTATCACCTCCTCCTTCCTTGATTGCCTCTCCTCTCCCCTTTACTTCCCACTCCTTTGCTTGTCTACTCCGTTCCCTGCGTAAAGGCCATCATAAATCCTTTCTCCCCTCCCATTTCTCTTTTCTTTCTCATGGGGTTAGAGCTTGAAGGTGTTTCCCATGTTTCCAGGAAAGCACGTAAGTAATGGGATAGCAGTTAGGTGCCGGCCACTGCACTAAGCACCTCACATGCCGTATCTTGCCTAATCGTATTGTCATTTACTCTTGTGAGGCAGGACTATTGCAATCCCCATTTTTCAGAGGAGGAAGCTGTGGCTCAGAAAAAAGGTGCTGTCCAAGGTCACACAGCCAAAAGGTGGCAGAGTCAGGATTTGAACCCATGTCTGTCTCCAGATTAGAACCAGGGCTATTGACAGCCTGCTGTTTATCTGCCCAGTATTTGGGGATCTCAGGAGGATGGAGACCATATCTGTTTTTTACTTCTGTATCCCCACAGCTAGCACAGTGCCTGGCACTTGATAGATTTGCAATAAATGTTGTTGAATCAGTGAAAATCCATCTCCCCACTAGCCTCCTGCTAACACCCAAAAAAGCAGGGAGTGTTTTCTTCTGCATTCTCGTCCCTAACCCTGGCCTTGGGGCTGGTCCACAGTAGGTGCTCAGAGAGCCATTCCTTTATGAATGAATGTTTGAATGAACGAAGGAAATAAAGAGTGAACAAATGATTACTGAGCCAGTGCATAAGTGTGGCACATGTCCTAAGGGTCTTTAGTCACTTCTCTAGGGCTCCAAAGAACCCACCATTTTCCCTCCTGCTCTGACACCTCCTGCCCCACCTCTCTCTCCCCCTCGAGTCCCAGGGCAGCTGCCCAGTGAGCCTGGGGGGAGGTGACTTCCCGAAGGTGCATCCTGGGTCTCACCACCACTGATTCTGCCCAAGCCTCTCTAGAAAGTTCTCCTCAAGCCAAGTGTCCTTTAATCCATGCAGACAGCAGGAGGGCTGTCTGCAGGGGTGTTTAAAGAACCTGGGTTGAAGCCTGTCAAACTAATTTTTTAAAACGCAAATCCCAATCCTCACAGAGAAACTGAGGGGACGGTGGAAATACCTCCAAGGCTCTAAAAGGCTTTTTATCTGCTCCTTTTTTTTTCCTCCCAATCTGTTCTTTCTAATTTCAAATCCACAGAGAGCACTCACAAGGCATCTTGCTTGTGCTTCAAGATAATTCTGTGCCCAGTTCCCCCATTTTGCTGTTTAAAACATGTATGTTATTCTGACATGAAACATATGCCTGTCTCTTAACATCTTTCCACATCAAGGGCTGTTCTTCCTCCCACTGCTATTCAGCCTTATTTTCACTGCTTTCCTCTGAACGCCACTGGTTCAGCTGGCCCTTCCCCACCTCTCTTGCTCCCTTTGCCTTTAACCTTCCTTTAACCCAGCTCCTAGCCCACTACCTGTTTTCTTATAGAAGGCTCTCAAGGCCATTCTTAGAACTGAACTTGGCATATCAAAATCCACCTCATTCTTTTTTTTTTTTTTTTTTTTTTTGCGGTACGCGGGCCTCTCACTGCCGTGGCCTCTCCCTTTGCGGAGCACAGGCTCCGGACGCGCAGGCTCAGCGGCCATGGCTCACGGACCCAGCCGCTCCGCGGCATGTGGGATCCTCCCAGACCGGGGCACGAACCCGTGTCCCCTGCAACGGCAGGCGGACTCTCAACCACTGCGCCACCAGGGAAGCCCCCACCTCATTCTTCAAATCCCTGCCTCCTCTGGGAAGACTCCCTGGGTTCACACTGGTGTCCCTTCCTACCCTTCCGTTAGCTTCTGTGGGACCATACATCTCAATCCTTAACTAAGGACAGGCCCTCATTTGTGTACATAATGCTTTCTTGACATTATGAAAAATATTCTCCCCTCATTCTTCAGTGACTGAGTTTTGAATTCCAGTCATCTTCCCTTGGCACTTTGAATAGATTGTCCCATTCTTTTCCTGCATCTATAGTGTTGCTAGGAAGCACCTACTATCCACCTGGTCCTTGTTCTCTTTTTCATTAGCTGTCATTTCTCTGGTTTTCTCAGGAGCTCCTCACTGTCTTTAAAATGCCGACGGTTCACTAAAGCATGTCTAGGTATGTTTCTTTATTTTTATATCCTGCTCAGCATGTGGTGGGTCTTTTCAATCTAAGGACTCAGGAGATCTTCCTAGAAATTGTCCCACTTTTACTTCTTTTTTTTTTTTGGGGTAGGGGAGCCCCGCTGCATGGCACGCAGGATCTTAGTTCCCTGATAAGGGATCAAACTCTTGCCCCCTGCAGTGGAAGCACAGAGTCTTAACCACTGGACCTCCAGGGAAGTCCATCACTTTTACTTCTTTAAATAATGACTCTCTTCACTCTTTTTATTCTTTCCTTTTGGAATGGTTATGAAACAGTATGGGAGCTTCTGCCCCTATTTTCCGTGGCTCTTAACGTTTCTTTCATATTTTCCACCTTCATCCCCTTGTACTGCATTCCTAGAGCATTCTGCTTCATCTTTTAGTCCATTAATTTGCTCTTTAACAATTCAGTCTGTTTCTTATTTTATTTCAACAGCTATCATTTTTATTTCCAAGAGCACTTATTCTTTTTCATAGTTACGTGTTCTCATTTCATAATAGCCTGTTCTTTCATGATGTCGATGCCCTTCTATATCTGTCTAAGGATATTAAATATGTTATTGTTCATGATCTCTCTCCTCGGTTGTAAATCCTTTGCAGTGGTGTTGGTATTTATTTCAGTTCTTTTCATGGTGTTAGGACTTGTCTTGGGCAGTACAAGAAGAGGCAGCAGTCAAACAGCCCGGTTGGGGAGTGTACACAAGGGGCTGGTTGACTTCCACTGGCTTCAGTGCCAGATCGGGGACTTCTGAGCCAGCCACTGAGCAGTGTCTTGTCTCTGACCCAAGCTCATTCTTTCACTGTTCCACTCGTGAGCAATCGCCTCCTTCATACCACCTACCCTACAGGAATGGAATAAAGGGCATAGAGGGGTCAACCAGCCTTGTTGCTGCTGCCGTGGTATCCCAGTTAATCCCCTGTCACTTGCCCCTGGGCCTTCCTAGTCTCAGATTCTACCCCCTCAAAGTCTGGCAGGCCTCACACTGCTACTACCTTTTGCAACAAAACCCCCTGCAGCCGTCCTGGGCCACAGCCCCCCTTTGCAGCTTCTGCCCATCAGTGATTCCTCACAATTCCTAGTCCACTAACTTCTCCCCTTCCTCTTTCTGCGCTTGGCTTTCTACTGATATTCATTTGTTTCCCGGCTTTATTGCATTAAGGGGAAACTGCTGTTCATTCCACCTCCCATCTTGAAACCAGAAGTCTGGCTTGCATATTATAAAAGTTTTCTTGTTTGTTTGTTTTTTCCCAAGAGCACTGAAGAACATGATAAAACATTCTTCCCCTTTAAGACAATGAGTTTCCAGCATTTTGTACAAACACACACCATTGTTTGAGCGTGCTGGCAAA